GAGCCAGGTCAAGAAGTACCTGCGCCTTCGGAGCCAGGTCAAGAAGTACCTGCACCTTCAGAGCCAGTTCAAGAAGTACCTGAGCTTCCAGAGCCAGGTCAAGAAGTACCTGAAGTTTCTGAAATAGATAATGAAGTGCCTGAAGTTTCAGAGCCAGTCAAAGAGGTAGCTGAAACCTCAGAGCCAGGTCACAAAGTAGCTGAAAATGCAAAACCAGACACAAAAGTGCCTGAAGGCTCAGAGCCAGGTCAAGAAGTACCTGTAGACTCAGAGCCAGGGGAAGAGTTTATAGTAGAATCTCAAGAAGTTGCTGTTTCAGAGCCAGAAGAAGTAATTACAGAAGTAATTACAGAAGTAATTACTACTCTAGGTATTGAAGAGAAGGACCTTGAAGTTTCAGAGCCCAAGGCAGAAGCAGAAGAAAGCACCGTCAAAGATCTGACAGAAGAAGCACTGCATGAACAGCCCAGTGTTTTACAACCAGAAGAGGAAAAAGCAAAAATTACAGAAGAGATTAAAAAAATGGACGAAAATGTAATTCCAAATTTGCAGCCTGAGCCAAATGTGGGGGGTGTTAAAGAACCAGAGGAAGAGTCACAATTCACAGGTGTAGAAGATGTTTCAGAACCAAAAGGAGAGGTGGTTGATGCCACAGGATCAGAAAAACTAGTGCCAGAGGCACGAGATGATAAAGATGTCGAAAGAAAGCAGGAAGAGGTTTTGCGGGTAGAAAAAGTTAAACCTCCAGCAGAAGAAACTGCAGAACCAGAAACTGCACCGACAAGGGAAACCCAAGTGCCCAAAGTAACAGAAATGGCACCTGTGGAAGTTGGGACTGCAGAATCAGAAAAGGAGCAAGAAGAAGTACCAGAACCGACTGAGTCGGTGGTAGAGATGAAAAAGGTACCATACGAACCATTACCTGGGAAAGAATCAGAAGTACTGGATGTAACTGAGGTCCCACTACCACAATCTGAAGAAGTCGTGGAACAAGTGAAGGTTGCTGAAAGCCCAAAACCAAAAGAAGCTTCTCAACCGGTCAAAGGCAAAGCTGACAGTTTACCACCAGAGGAAAAGCTACCAGAAGTCTCAGAGCCAGAATCTAATGAAGAGGTAATAAAGGAAGTCCAACAATCAGAAGGGGAGCATCTTCATTCAGAATCGGATCCAGGTGAGGGGGTAGTAGAGATGTTAGAACCAGAACCTAAAATAGATGCTACTGAGCCACCTGCTGAATCAATTAAAATCCTGCCCTCCTTGGATGGTGTGGACAACCTTCCTTTTGGAGAGGATGCTGCTCAGGTCACTGAAGATAAAAACCTCCTGTATCATGTCAGAACTGACTATCATCACCCAGCAGAGGAGCATAATTTACCCGTCATACCAGTCCAGCCTTCCAGCGAAGATGTAGGCGAACCTGACCATGATTATCCCATCATTGATCATTTTTACAACGAGGAGGATGCAGAGAGTGTAGACGTTCAGGTGGAGCATGAAGTCAATTCCACCACAATGACAGAAACGACAAAAGGCAATTCACACTTGGAGACGATCTCTCATATCACAGGTGAGCAGGTGTGAAGAGCAGTGTTGGGGTTGTTATTCAAAAAAGTACTTTATTACACATACTTTTTTACTTTCCTTAAAAGTAATGCAGTACTTAATTACTCGCCGGAGAAATCAGTTCGCTTCACTACACTACACTACACTACTTGTTACATTACTTAAGTGTTTCTTTTGTAAAACCTATAAAGAGTATAATATATGGGCGAATTACAGTAATTATAAATGAGATGGAAGTGAGATGATTACATGTTTTCTGATGGATTGATTATATAATTTTAGAGCCGTGTACAAACCAAAATGTGATCTCCCTACATTTCAGTGCAGACTGTGCAATGTGTTTGTGCTGCATGAAAAGTTGTGGGTTATTTTTTGATTATTAAAGAGGCCATCAGATGGATCTTTTCTGTAAGATTTTATCTTAGTGCAAAAGTGAGGATTCTGCATTAGCTGTATGAATTTATTATGTATGTACACAGGCACATTTTGGTAATTTGTTGAAATCCTTTGTGTGCACTCATGACTTAATTAATCCTTTTTGCCTGAAATTTCAAAGTGGCAGCTGCAGACACGACAGGCACATCAGAAGCCACTAAAGAGTTGCCAGAGGAGACACAAAAAAGTAATTTATCCCCAGAAACAGACATCAGTGTGACAGCACCACCAGCTTCAGACTCACTGCCTACACCTCCGGCAGCTTCTGTCGATGTTTCTGAAGTGTTTTTACCCGTCCCAACAATTGACTCTGGACTCTTTGAGGTAGCAGAGGAATCTGAAGTCCCCATTGTTACTGAGTCTCCTGAGGGTGATAGCGCTGAGCCGGAGGTGGAGTCAGAGCAAAGCGAGCCAGCTGTTGTCATTATTGATGAAGACTTGGGAGGCTACATAAAAAAAGAAGGCGGAAGCCCCACCACCCCGCCGGATGCTACCGAAGACATGGTGGAAGAAGCTGTGCAGGACCTGGCTGTGGAGCTGGATCAAACCAGCGTGGTGGCCACAGACCCAAATGAGCTCCTGGAAAAGGGAGAAGAGGGGAGCGGCTTCCTGTCTGTGCAGGAGGAACACAGGACCATTGTCACCACGGCCACGCCTCCACTGAGATACCTAACCACTCCCACCATGACCACGGCCAGCCACGGCCGGGAGCTGGTGGTGTTCTTCAGCCTGCGCGTCACCAACATGGACTTCTCTGAGGACCTCTTCAACAAGACTTCACCTGAGTACAGGTCCCTGGAGAACACCTTCTTAGACGTGGTGAGTTGGAATGCAACCTGCATCCTTCTTTAGGGTTCTTTATTCTGCTGGTTTGTCTGGTTTAAAGAGTCATTATGTGTTGTTTGCAAAACTGTCACACCTCTTTGAATATATCAGCAATCACCAGTTAGTGGATTACAGCTGTTTAAGTAAAAATATATTTAAAGCTTTATGTACTGCAGCATTTCTCAAACTGTGGGACATGAGCCGCTGCAGGTGGGGCGTCGATAACCAGCTGAAAAATACAAATGGACGGAAAATTAATAAAACTGTGGGTAAACCTGAGGGTACTGCTAACCTTGGGCCTTTGCTTTTCTTAATGACTGATAAAACATGTTCAATGTGCTGTGTAAACTTGGATGAACTAGCTATGATGATGCAGAGCTGACAGCAGCTAGCCCTGTCGGCACCAGCCTGTCTGTGAAAGTGGCCACGGCAATATTAATGCATAGCTTTAAACCTCGATGTAACTCAAACAGGAGAGTTGAATAAAAGGTTTTCTCCACTACTGTTGTTCTGAAGGAGGAAACCATCCATAGAGGTCAAAACAGTTTTTTGTATTAATTCAATTCAATTCAATTTTATTTATATAGCGCCAAATCACAACAAAAGTCGCCTCAAGGCGCTTTATATTGCACAGTAGATACAGAGAAAAGTCCAATAATCATATGACCCTCTATGAGCAAGCACTTTGGTGACAGTGGGAAGGAAAAACTCCCTTTTAACAGGAAGAAACCTCCAGCAGAACCAGGCTCAGGGAGGGGCGGCCATCTGCTGCGACCGGTTGGGGTGGGAGAAGGAAAACAGGATAGAGACTTGCTGTGGAAGACAGACAGAGGTTAATAACAGATATGATTCAATGCAGAGAGGTCTATTAACACATAGTGAGTGAGAAAGGTGACTGCAAAGGGAAAACTCAATGCATCATTGAGACTCTGAAGGTTTTTATCTCAGCTGTAAAGTTGGACATTTTAACATTTTAAAATATTTTAACATATTATCCATCAGTCTATGGAGACTGACTCACTTTTGGAGCCTCATGTGGAAACTAGAGGTACTGCAGGTTTTGGCACTAATGCATTCATTTGCATGTCATGTCGGCAGGTTTTTTTAATGTGTGATTTTAGAGTTTTAAATGACACAGACTATAAAGTTCAAGGTTTTATGTGACATTAATGTTCTGGAGTGTGATAGATTTAGATTTAGCTGCTGTACCTGACATATCCGTTTACTCTGGGTTTTTTTCCTCGTTAAACGTGGGTCCATAGATATTTTCTTCTCTTTGGCAGAGCCGATATATTTGGTTTATATCACCACATTAAAAAAAGAAGAAGCAATTATCCAATTCTAAAATCGAAAACTGAGCACCTGCTGAATGCAGAAAAATTCAAACTGTTTAATATTTGGGAGAGCATCACATCATGAAGCTGTAGCCTGAGAGCTGAGGGGAGCTACAGACTCGGATCATAATCATGTGTGGCTCCATCAGCACCAGAGACTCCTTTCATGTCATTTCATACATTATTATAAGAGGAGAGGAGAACATATTCCCCAAACTGAGACCTAATTGGAGCTGGTTTCATCCCGCTTTGATGCCAATGAGCTATTTTTCCTTCTTTGATTAAAATATTCATATTAATAGGGATATTTAGAGCGTATCGACACAGTGCCTGGTGAGTGCGATACCTCATACTTCTATGACTTGATGGGTAAAACAGAAAGCCAGACACAATTAATAACACAAGCTCTGTTTTCATTCCGAGTTCTCCTGGAGCCCTCAGCGTCGGAGCTGCAGGTTGTTGCGCAGTGAATGGATATGTTTTGATGTTTTGGATGAAGCGAGAGAATAATTTCAAGCTCAGGCAGGTACAATACAGCCGTTATTTCTCTCTGAACAATGACTCTGCTGGATTAATGAGGCAGGAAGAACATGCCGGGGGAATATAATGGTAAATGGATGATGCAGGTGCGAGTCCTCTGCCTGAAATACTAATCTAAAGATGAAACGTGCCTCCTACTTACTGCAGTTTTATTTGCAGATTATTGCCTGCCGTCAGTGTCCTTCAGCTGAGATTTCAGATCAAATAATGTCTGAAGAAGTGGGAGCTCTATCTGGATTTCTTAGCATTCAGACAGTTTTATCAACCTTAACTCTCTGCAGGGCGCTCACATCTTTCTTTACCTTTCTTATTTTTCTCATTTGGATCCATCAATGATTAACACTCTACCCTAAACTAATTCCTGCTGCAAATGTACATTTTGGTGACCGTTACGTACTGACGTTTCAAAGTATTGAGTTCAAGCCTGGAGGCATTTACATACTAATATGGAGCTGCAGCAAGTGATGTTTGTGCAGCAGCCAATTAGAATCCAGAGCTAAAAACGGCTCAGTGTAACTAAAGGTGCAAATATTTCACATAAGCTTGAGTGACTATTCAAATACTCAGCAGTCATAAACATACCTTTCATTGATGAGTAAGCACTTCCTGCAGACTTTTCACATTAAAAGCCTTACAGGAACAGCAGCCTGCGAGCTGAGGCTTTTAATGAGTGTCAGTGATTTACAATGTTTGAAAGAGTGGCAAAGGTGAATAGACTTGAGTTACTGTTCTTTTTTGTTTAATTGGGAAACTTGGAAGGAAACCATTGAGTCTGCAGAAATGCTGAGTTTGCATTATCAGCAATATCGGCTAATTAAAAGAGGGGCAGGCAGGAAAATGGAGAGATCTGGGTAATATATGAGTCGAAAAAGACAGAAAAGCTTTTTATTTGTGTTTAACTCGAGGAATTGAACCAGCAGCCTTTAAGTCGTCTCCTCTGTGTCCTTGCTCTGCTGCTGGCGGTGAAAAATTAATTCAAGCCCTGCAAGACGCAGTAATTATCACATGAATAGAAATACAGACTCAGGCCTACAGATACTGCCTGGTAAAGAAAGCACTTTAAATCCTTTTGGGGACCCACGTTTTCTGAATAGATTTTACTCTTCATCTGCTGAACAGTTTAAACTGCATCAATAGAGGTAATTATGTCCGGTCAATGCAAATTAGAGAAACAAAACTGTCGAGTGTTTCTATTTGTTCTCTTTTAGTTTGACTCTGCAGATCGTGTGTGTGTGTGTGTGTGTGTGTGTGTGTGTGTGTGTGTGTGTGTGTGTGTGTGTGTGTGTGTGAGTTGAACTTCATTTTCAGGGATACTAATTTTTCGGCACAGTGTCTCATTTAAGGTGAGGATGCTCTCAAAAAAACTCAATGACAGGAGGAAAACATGAAGAGGAGTGATGACTGAAACGAAGTGCGCATCTCCTCCGTAAACAGCATAATCACATCAGTGGCACTCGCTGCCAGCGGCACTTATAAATGTACTTATTATTTCCGGACACATTTTACACGCACATGCAAAAAGGACCATAAATATTTGTGTAATGAAGGAAGAAACAAGCATGTTCGGTAAACTGGACTTGTGGGGATTTAACCCGACTTTAAAGAGTAAAACCTTTTTTTTTCTACCAGTGATATATCACTGTCTCTCTCTCATGGGTTCAATTTAAGGAAACAGCTTCCAGTACATATGTTCATACTAATGCAAAGTTATTGAATAAACCATGTTACATGTAAAAATTTACATGTAATTTCTATAATTAATTGCACCAAAGGATCGACTTTAAAGTGAATTGAAGATAAATGGGATTGAAGAAGAAGTACTGACTTAAACTGAAGGGAGAAAAGAACAGGGCTGTAATCCTATTAAGAAGAATAAGCCAATCAATTTGGGGCACAAAAACTGGGATTTAACTAGAAAAAACCTGGATAAATCCTCTGATTACTTTCTGGTTTGAAGACACAGTTCATCCATATCACATTAAAGTTTAAAATTATGACTTTAATCTTTCCTTTCTGTGTCTGCTGACAGCGGATTGACTCAAACAGTGGGATGGTTTCTTCCTCAGAGAGATGTTTGTGTGATTTAAAAGGCGTTCTGTATTCTTTGCAGCTTCTGAATTACAATATAAATCTTCAGTGTGAGTTCAGGCATTGCAAGAATTTCTCGAGCAGGAGGAGGAAACGTAGATGAATGTATTGATTTGTAGAAAGAAATTCCAGACATTCACACAAAACTCTGGATAAAATCAGACTGGGTGCATCAATTCAGCCAAGGCTTTGGCTTCATGGGCATAAAAGATGTGAGTTATGTGAGCAGAGAGGCATCAAGTTATTTATGAATTCACTCAGTTTAGACAGAATTCATGATGAGACAGTTTAATCGGCCCAAACTACATTTACATCAATTTTCTTCTGTTTTTCCTTCAGTTTTGTTTTGTGCAGATTCTCCAAAGAGCTCAGAGAAAATGTGTAACTTTCCCTGTGTGTGTGTGTGTGTGTGTGTGTGTGTGTGTGTGTGTGTGTGTGTGTGTGTGTGTACTTGGTTGTTAATATCAAATTATATCAAACAGTCAGACTCCCCTATGGCCTACGCGTCACTCTCTGCTTCTTCTTCTTCTGCAGCTGCTGCCATTCCTGCAGGCCAACCTGACGGGCTTCAAAAAACTGGAGATCCTCAACTTCAGGAAGGGCAGCGTGGTTGTCAACAGCAAGATGAAGTTCACCAAGTCAGTGCCGTACAACATCACCGAGGCGGTCCACTGCATCCTGGAGGAGTTTTGCACCGCTGCCGCCAAGAAGCTGCACATCCAGATTGACACCCACTCTCTGGACATCGAACCAGGTGCGTGAAACGCTACCGGGTTTGCAGGTGTCCTGAGCTTTCTCTGCCCCGAACCGAACTGAATGTGAACTCCGGTCTGATGCTCATGTACACCAGCCGGGCCTAAAATTGTGAGCAGTGACAGGTGAGGTGAATAACAGTGATTATTTCTTCACCTGTTAGCGGGTGGGAGCAAGTCAACATTTTGTTCTCAAAGTTGATTTGTTAGAAGCAGGTAAAATGAGCGAGTGTAAGGATTGCCATCACAGTTTGACAAGGGCCGAGCTGTTCAGAGTGTCTCTACACCTGCAGCTCTCGTTGGGTGTTCCCGGTATGCAGGGGTCAGTATCTATCAAAGTGGTCCAAGGAACGAACAGTTGTCATGGGCGGCTGAGGCTCACTGATGCATGTGGGGAACGAAGCCCGGCCCGTGTGGCTACTTTAGCTCAAATTGCAAAAAACATTTAAGCTGGTTCTGATAGAAAGATGTCAGAATACACAGAACATCTGGCACTACAGACAGCGAGGGTTCCCACACTGACCCCATCCACCGTGTTCTGCTGGGAAACCTTGGGTCCTGCCAACACATGGACGTCACTTTGACATGTAACATCTACCTTAGCGGTGTTGCAGACCATGTACACCCTTTCTTGGAAACAGTACTCCCTGATGGCTGTGTCTTTCATCAGAACAATGCGAGGTGCCACAAACCAGAAATAGTTCAGGAACAATTTGAGGTGTTGACTTGGCTTCCAGATTTCTCAGATCTCAGTCCAATCGAGCATCTGTGGGATATTCTGGACAAACAAGTCCCATCCATGGAGCCCCCACCTCGCAGCTTAGAGGACTTAAAGGATCTGTCGCTTACATCTGGGTGTAGATCCCACGGCGCACCTTCAGGAGTAGAGTGGAGTGCATGCCTCAACGGGTCCGTAGCAGTTTATAAAATAGAGTAATATAACACAAGAAGACAGTTTGTTTTGGCTGATGTTAGCAGTGATTAAAGCAAGCTCTGGCTCAGTGCTGATTCTACTGTTGTTCAACTGAATATCTAAGAGTCCTTTTTGCATGCGATGGTGTTTTTATTCCTTAACATGAAAGATTAAAAAGCCAACATGCCGTTTCTTTTGTTAGCTGCAGTGCGGTGGTGTTTTATGATGCCAGGATTTCTTTTATGTATGAGATATAAACAGGCATCTTAGAATAATTCACATTTGTTGTATCAGCAGCGCTCCTCTGCATGCAGTTCACACTCTAAAAGCTTTGTGATGTAATATTCTCCACAGATGAGTCTGAGGCAGGGAGCAGAGATCACAAACATTCAAACAGACTCGGTAATTAGGTCTATATGTCAAATCCAACGGTACACGGTGGGATCGTAGAGAACATTATAGGGCCCGAATAATGGTGATGAAGATGAGAAGTGAGCTGCTGAGAGGAGAAGTGCTGCTGCAACATCTTCTGTCTCAAGGCGAGCGTGTGTGTGTTTCAGCAAAATCCTGATTGGGAATCAGGTTTTTGCTGAAACACTCGTGTTTGTTGTGAATAAAGCTGCAGAAGCTGTGTGATTTTTATCACATCAGTATGGACCAACATCTCTGAGGAGTGTTCCCCAGCAAGGGATACCTAATAAAGTGGCTGGCAAGACTAGATTTTGAACTAAAAGAGGCTATAAAGCACTACATACACTGTAAAAACAAAGGTAAATGCAGGTTTATAAAACCTTAAATTCTCTTGTAGTTGATTTGAGGGTTACAATCAATCTCCCAAAAACTGTGCAGCGATATGTTTGATAGATTCCTCAAACCTGCCAGTTACACAGTCTAAGAAAAGTAGTAAGAGGGACATTTTACATACACAGATTAAATATGGCTATTTATTCCAAGTCATGATGTAAAAGCAGCTGTTTCTGTTCCAGCTGGCATACACTGATAAATATACAGTATAAATAAACAGGAACTCTCCAGGACACGAAGGCTGTAGACCCCCAGCAGAAGCCCTGATTCAAACACACATACTTGCTGATGTATGTTTGGATTACAGATACTGACCACGTGCTGTGGCTTCACAACATGACGTACTTCTCATCCGTGACACCCTGCACACATGCTAATTTCCCCGGAGTGAATCTGACGTTTAGTCTCGGAGGCCGGCTAAACCTTACATTTCAGTGCAGAGCAGGAGGAGAGGATCTCATTAAAATCAAACACTCCTCAGCACCTCCCGGAGAGAGGAGGGTGGTTAGAGGAAGGCGCGGGAAACTCCTCCTGAATACTAATGTGTGTCCACATTTTTCTGCCTTTCTCTCCTTGCAGCTGATCAGGCCGATCCCTGCAAGTTCCAGGCCTGCGGTGAGTTTTCTCGCTGCGTGGTGAACGCCTGGACGAAGGAGGCGGAGTGTCAGTGCCAGTTGGGCTTCGTGTCAGTGGACGGTCTGCCCTGCCAGAGCCTGTGTGTCCTCCAGCCGAACTACTGCCAAGGAGGAGAGTGCCGCATAGTTCCCGGATACGGAGCCGTGTGCAGGTAAATGACGATGTATGCGGACTGTGCAGGTCCACAGTTTGGTCTATAAAGTGTTACAAAGAACACAGAGCAGAAATCACAAAATTTATTATTTCTATAATTTTATAGTAAACGCAACCACATCATCAGCATATAATGGCAGTCTCAGTCTGTCCCTCCATAGATTTAGGACCTGATATGCAGAACTCTAGAGACAAAGAGTTAACTCAAAAAGCACATGAGATGAGGGACTTTCAAAATAAGACAGGAAGTAACAGAACACAGGAACAAAAACAGTGTCCCAAACATTTTGTTGGGGGGTTGTTTAAAGAAAAAAGGAGTTAAACAAAACTGAAGGAAGCAAATAAATGAATGAAATCAAATAAAACATTAGGTTAAAGCTAATAATAGGTTTTAATACAAAAAAAGACTGCAAATAAAAACAACAAACTGAAAAATCAGGAAGAAACATTCACGGTGGACAGGACATCTCAGACTCAGCGAATGAAAACAGGACGAGTGTTAAATAGGATTTCAAACGGTCGATTGCTGAACTTTGTGCAGGTTGGCAGATTATTTGAGAGGCTGTGGAGTCGATTCATGGAGGGCAAATTTCATTGATAGCCAGTGCAGTGACCACTGCGTGATGTGTAGGAGCTGAATCGTGGATTTGGACAAACTGAACATAAAAGGGTCACCGCAGTTCAGCTGAGAAGTCATTAAAGGGCCGTTAAAGTTAAAACCAGCTGCAGTTTTGTAAAAGCTGATCTTCACGACTGATTTGACTGTTAAAAATACGATTTTTACAACATTCAGCTGAACAACAGAACAGGAACACAGACCATGGGCAGCACGTGTTTCAGTTTTGGAGTGATGGTGAGGCAGAATTTAAATCTCAGGACCGGGGTTTGCAAACAGGTACAGCGGGAAAGTCAGCATTCAGTCATTTCAAAGTCCCGGCTGCAGGAATGTGGGAACAATCATTTCAGAGTGATAATGTGTGACTGTCTTATCCTCACTCAGACTGAGCTGCCATTCTTTGAGCCGCTGGATTCAAACCGAGAGCCATAATTTTCATTACAGATGTATAATTTTTATCAGAGGGAGCTGGAGCCTGCCGGTGTATAATGTGATTTTCTGCTTTCTTTTTTTAAGTGGAATCGTTCTTTTTGTAAAGGGTCGTGATGCCTTGAGTTTAAGCTGTTCTCTGCAGCCTTCTTTAACTTTCTCTGTTAAAAGTAGAAAGTTATTCAGGTACTTTTTAACAACCTCAGCTTGGGGTTAACGCAGGGTAACCATAAGCATGCAAAACAGAGGACTGAAGCCAAATTATACCCAATAAAATATGAGACAGGAATTAAACATACAATTAAACAGTGTTAGCAATCACCTCAATCGTAAACTGTGTCACTAAAATAGAATAAATATGAAATCTGATTAGTAAACATCCATTGTTTAACCACTTATAGCCTGTCACAGCTGTCACAGGGAGAAGGGTAAGGTGAGGCGTCTGTGGAGAGAAAGTGAACACTTTCATCTTTTAAAGTGAAAAAGTCCACATGTGGAGGCTGGAGGGGACACAGAGTCATACTCATACACAGATTTTCATGCTTCATTTGGATTTTTTTATAACGCATGAAGCTCTTTAATTGCCAATAAGTTACTTGGTTAGGTTGGTATGCATGCAAACTCCTCCCACAAAGGCCTCAGCGGGTCAGCAGATTCAAATCCAGAACCTTTTTGCTGTTAGGCAACTGTGCCACCCAAATATAGCCCTAAATACCCCCTAAGAAACAAACAAAAAGGCCACAATAGGACAGACAACCAAAAAAATCCCTATCTGTCTATCTGATTCAGACTGTCCCAGGAGCCCACTGAGCTCCTGATCCAATCTGGGATCAGGAACTCAGGAACCAATCCAATCTTCTCTAGCAAGAAGCGATAAGGAGAGAGCGGCGGTCCGTGTCCATCTCCTGCAGAACCATTCCCTATTTGGGGGTTTGTGTTGCCGTGCCTCTCCAGAGCACCCGTTGTCACTTTGATTTGCACTAAAACACCTGAAATGGATCAAGAAGATAAACTCTGAAGGCTGACACAGACTGAAGCCATGATATAACTACCAGCCACTCACGTGACTGCAGGAAAGTGAGCGTATAGAGACATCTATGGTGAGAGAAGAAGGGTGGAGCCTCTTTTTCTTCTTCTGTCGCTTTGTGGTGCAACAGCTACTTTGCTTTCACTCTTCTGTCCAGTTCATCCCAAACCAGCTCAATGGGGTTAAAGCCTGGAGACTGTGGCCACTTTGTGTTTTTAAGCTTACTATCTTGTTCTTTTTTCCTGAGGTAATTCTGCCATAGCTTGGACTTGGGTCATTATCTTGCTGTAGGATGAATCCTTGACCAACTACGTGCATACCAGAGGCTATTGCATAGTGCTGCAGAATGCTGTGGGAGCCGTTTTGCTTCATGGCGCCTCTCACTCTGTACAAGTCACCCACCCTGGATCCAGCAAAACAGCCCCAGACCATCACACTTCCTCCTCCATGTTTGCCAGTTAATGCCACACACTGTGAAACCATCCTTTCACCTACTCAACGGCGCACAAAGATCCTGCGTTACAAACTGAACATTTCAAATTTTGATTCCGCCTTCCAGTCTTCAGTCGTCCAATGGCAGCGTTTCATGACCCAGCCAAGCCTCTTTGTAATATTCTGACGTCTTAGCGATGGCTTTCTTGCTGCAACTCGTCCTGTAAAACCTGCAGCAAGAAGTCTCCTCTTCACAGTTGAAACTGAGACTTGCTACGACCACTATTAAGCTGTGCTTGAAGCTGTTATCCTGTTAGCCTCCTATCATGCAAGCTGTTAACTCCCAGAAACGTGTCCCATGATTCAGCTGTGGCTTTGGGTCTGCCAGACCTCATCCTGTCAGTTTGCCCCGGTTTCTGAGTGCCTTTTGATAGTGAAGAAAACTACTGTCACCTTGACTTTCTTTGCAATTTCTCTGTAGGAAATACAAAGTGCTACGTACATTTCATTGAAACTTGTGGTGCATTGTTGAACTTAGTACATCTGAAGCGTAACCGCCAGCTGTTAGCTGCTGTGATAAGTTTTAAATCGTGGCAGGATGATGTCGGCTGTCCACAGACGCCTTTGAAGAATAGTTCCTTTCCTTAAGCACTTAAAAGCTTCATTAATATCGTGTTTCATTAACTGTCAGCTCACATGCAGATTTTTTTATTACATTATGAACGTTTAACTGAATTAAAAGTCATCCTCGGGTCTGTTAATAAACTGCACTGCAGGGAGCGGCGACGGTTTTAAATCTGAGACATTCAGAGACAGACAGGGTGAGATAATGGCTGGAAAGACTTTTTTCTCAACTCTTATGGAAACTTTGAAGAAAATCTGACGACGCTCTGCTTGGTTTTTTCAATTGTATTTAATCCAATAACACCAAACATCTGTCTGCTGAAACAAACAGACTCAGTAACAGCAGCTGCTCTCTGCGCTTTTATCAACATTTGTTCAGGACTAATTTTACTGCTGTTTAATCCACGTTTGGTGTGTGTGTGTGTGTGTGTGTGTGTGTGTGTGTGTGTGTGTGTGTGTGTGTGTGTGTGTGTGTGTGTGTGTGTGTGTGTAAGTAAAGATGATTTTCTGAGTTTTGGTAAGTTTGACAGTCTTCGAGATGTAACGTAGTGCCGTAATCATCCTAAAGATTAACTGTGTCTGATGCTTTGGTTTATAGCAAAATGTTGCTTAAAACTGAGATCGTGATTTTGGTAACGCCTGCTCCTTATTTCTGGTTTTGAAAACCATCAGAGAGAAAAGAAAAATCTTTGCACATGTGGTTCATCAAACAGATGGATGTGAGATGGACAAACAGATCCAACGCTGCACAGAAAATTGATTTAATGTTTTGGTTTCTTTTTGTGGGTTTTGTCACTTTGTGACTGAGGGATTGATCGTGCGATTGATATTTTTCAGTTTCTTGTCACTTTAATGGTCAAATGATGGAAAAATTGCCCCAAATAGCTTTAATGTGCCTCTGAATTCAGACTGACCTTGCTTGTATGAAGTAATATCTTTGTGCACAGCCTTTAGCGGTCTTCTGCTCTGCTGTGGTGTTTATCCTCCTTCTCTCTGTCTGATCCGTCCCTCCATCATCCAGCCCCTCACCACTGTAAATCAATGCTAAGTTGATTTTTAACGGAGAGAAAGCGTTTTTTCTTTTATTAACCACCTGCAGAGAGTCGCTGCCGCTCAACTGCCAGAAAAATCTAATTTCAGCACCGTTATATGCCAGCACCTCGCCTCCTGACACACAGCACCTCAGAGATTCTCACGCTCAAACGTCGATTTTCCATCAGCTCAACCTTTGCACAGATAGTTTTGGGTCTGCATTGTTTCACCTGTCAGACAGCACAAACTTCATTTTCTGGATCTGCAGTGGTGAGACATTAGAGAAACCACAAAAGCGTAAAACACTCATTAAAACGCCATCGTTACAGCTTCTGTGTCCACAGATTAACAGGCAGGAGATCCACAGCTCTGAGCTTCTAGACTGAAGACTTCGTTTATTGTTCGTTGGAGAAAAACACAAGAAAACTAAGAAGTGTGGTGTATTAGGGGCTAATCCTTTGTGATCTCCTTTGAATTCATCTTGTTAAGCGTTGTTGTAAAATCCTGACCTACACGAAACCCAGTTGTTAAAAACTTAAGCAGGAAAATAAGGGACAGCACAGCAGCTAATTTGAATATCATAATTGGAGGTTCAGACTAAAAACGGAAGTTTCTTGTTCCTCAAAATACCAAATAAACAAATAAATAAGTAAATACAGTGCTTTTGGAGGATATGGTTAACAGCTCTCTTGCTTCCACCTTGACCAGCTCAAGACTTTTGCACAGCACTCAAAACAAGTGACAACATTTTCCCACATTCTTTTGATCTTTTTTTATTTCTGCATTTACTCTTCGACCTTCCTGACCACGTCGTGATCACCAAACTTGGGGTGGGTTA